AAAAAAAATGTTGAACACACTTTGTATGGAAGAAATCGCTTAACATAGTCTTGCACAATATTATACTAAAGATGAATGAGCTATAAAACTGCATACCCGAATTATTTCTAAGAGTTCCAAATAAAAAGTTTTAAATTTTGATGTCCATTTTTCGAACTTCGTCGAATTATTATAAATCTTATACAAAGTTTAAAGCTTTGAGTTATTTGATTTTCGTTGTAGTATGCACTATATTTACCTAAAAAAAATTAATTTAAAAATAATATTTACAAATAGATTGTCAAAACTTGAAAAAGAAAATCGTTTCTAATTATCCGGCCACCAGTGTATATGGTACGAATACCAACCGAACCCGAATTCGAATATTAATACAGTAACTGGCACTCCTGGTATTCCTTTATAACCTGAAAAAAAACTAGTCCCCGGCGTCCAAACTGGCGCAACATAATTTAGAACCGGCCGGCCAATTGCCTTGTATGTTGCCAACAACGTTTCTTTGTCTTTGCCCCAAGTGCTGCCGGCGAGCGACTTGAGGACCTTGTTGCGGCTCTGTACTTTGTTGACAACTGCGGTTGTGTGCGCGGAGAAAGAGAGCAGGCTATCAAAGGTAACCCCTAAAATTTTCGGGTTGTTCACCGTCGGTATTGGTGTGCCGTCGACGTGAATGCCTAATTCAAGCCTGACCTCCTTCGTCCAGGTGGTGAAGAGGGTCGCCGTTGATTTCGTTGGGGAGAGGGTTAGGCTCCTTGCAGTGAAGAAGCGAGAAAGGCTGGAGAGATAGCCGTTTACTTTTGAGCAGAGGTCATCAATTCCATTCCCAGACGCCAAAATCGAACAGTCATCAGCGTAGGAGATCAGGGAAACTCCTTCAGGTGGCTGGGGGAGTTTCGAGATATAGAAGTTAAAAAGTAAGGGGGAGAGAACACCACCTTGTGGAACCCCTTGTTTTATTCTTCTAGGTTTCGAGGTTTGATCTCTGAAGATTACTGATGATTGCCTACCACTCATATAATTCGCCGACCATCGCTTCAGTCCCTGTGGGAGAGAGGAGGCCTCAATGTCTTCTAGCAGCGTGGAATGGCAGACGGTGTCAAACGCCTTTGACAAGTCCAGCGCTACTAGGACAGTTCTCTCACAGGGGCGGTTTCGATTTAGGCCGCGGGTTATCTGGGTGTTTATGGCGTTAAGTGCTGTTGTTGTGCTGTGCACTTTACGGAAGCCATGCTGATGTTTCGCTGGGGTTAGGTGGCAGGTGAAGTATGGGAGCAGCAGGGCCTCAAGTGTCTTCGCGACCGGGGAAAGGAGCGTTATCGGGCGATAAGAGTCTCCTCTGTTGGCGGGCTTCCCCGGTTTCAGCAGTGGGACCACTCTCCCTGATTTCCACACATCAGGAATGATGAGAGTGGTCATAGACAAATTGAGGACCTCCGTGAGGTATGCTACCCCCACAGGCCCCAAATGTTTCAACATCAGCATACAGATTCCGTCGGGTCCAATGGCTTTGGAGGCTTTCGCCTTCCCGATGGCCCCCTTTACTTCACCGCTGGTGAAAACAAGTGGTGCATCGTTTTTGGGCAGTTTGTGCAGCCTCCTGGTCACTCGACGTTTGGCCTTGTCTACCGAAGGATGCAGTGTGAATTGCCGACTGAAATAGTTCGCGCATTTCTTCGGGTCCGATGAGGCGTGACCTTCGAATGAAATTTCCACTCTGTCATCACGCTTCGTCGGGTTGGACAAGGACCTCACGGTTGACCAGAGCTTACTCACACCAGAGGTGAAGTTACAGGCATTCAAGTGCTCTTCCCACTTTGTCCGCTTGTGTTGATTTACCAGTTGCCGAATCTCCAAATTAAGTTCCCTCAAGCAAGGGTCCCCGGGGTCGACCTGGCGTAGGTGGTCACGCTCATTTGCTAGTACAGCTGCTTCAGCCGGGAAATTTGGGCGGACTTCCGCGATGCGTCCGGACGGTATGAAGCGAGCTGCTGCGGCTGTGACTACCTTGCGGAACTGGCGTTCGCCAGCATATACGTCTGTGGGTGTGGGGAGGGCGGCGAAGCTGCTCTCGGTAACTTCCGCGAAGCCGTTCCAATCAGCTTTGTTGAAGTTGGTGTAGGTTCGGTGATCCGCGGGAGCAAAGTCGGTGGGCTTATTGATCGAGATGATTATGGGCAGATGGTCTGATGCTAACGTTAGCATAGGTCGCCATGATATGCTATTTATCAGACCAGCGCTAGCAATTGTTACGTCTGGCGAGCTGCTGCAGCTGCCCACAATCCTGGTGGGGGCGTCGTCGTTCATGGTGCAGAATGTCGAATCGTCTATCTGCTCAGCCAAACTGTTTCCCCTCCGATCATTGGCCAGGCTTGAGTGCCAAAGATCGTGGTGCGCATTGAAGTCACCTACTACCAATCGGTTTTCGCCTCTGAGTAGCGCACCTATGTCAGGGAGATATCCAGCCGGGCAGCAGGTGACAGGGGGTATGTACACGTTAAATATTTCGAGCTCGACATCGCCTGACCGGACAGCTATGCCCTGACATTCTAGGGTAGTGTCCCTTGGGTCGATGTCTTCTTCGATTAGCCGATACTGCACTGTGTGGTGTAGAATGAACGCTAGTCCACCACCATTATCTCGCTCGCGATCTTTACGGAGCACATTGTAGGCGGCGCAACCCAACAGAGTTGAGTTGCTGTGCAACTTCGTTTCTTGGACCGCAGCTATCAATATGCCGTGCCGACCCATGAAGACTGCTATCTCCTCAATCTTGCTCTGGAGTCCGTTGCAGTTGAGTTGGAGTACGTTTATGTGCCTTGGGAGGCTGGTCGCGATACGGGGGGTCAGAGAAGTGTGGGGCCTACCTTGGGCCTGTTGCGCCTGACGCAGTTGCTGTTGCAGCCTGATGGTAGGTGGCTGCGATATGGGCGTTGTTGTCTGCGTCGGCGGTGCACTACAGCAAGGGGCGCTGTAGTTTGTAGTCCATTCGCGAGTGGTGCGTAGACCAGAACATAGCCGGAAGTGACACCAGCCAAGGCATGTGTTGCATTTGACTGATGTCACATTCCGGTATATTCTGTTCTGGCACACGGAGCAGATGGTGTGGGCAACCAGTAGCTGCTGGTTGGCTCGCGCTCGCGAGTGGGACCGGCCGGTAGGTTGTGTGGGAGGGGTATGTTGGGAGGTTTGCTGTTGCTCAGGGGAGCTTCTAGGGGCCGTGCAGGCTCTTCGGGTGCCCGTGCATTACGCGAGTGGGTAGCCGTGGAGGCTGATTGTGCCATTTGGCTTGAGCAACAGGGAGCCACAAAGTTTGTGGTCCACTCCCGGTGAGACCTAAGGCCAGAGCAGGTTCTTAGGTGACTCCACCCGTTGCAGGAGTTGCACCTAACCGAAGTGGAGTTCGAGTGGAGTCGATTCTGGCAAACACAGCAGAAGTAAATTTCAGGTCCGGGGTTGGGCTCTACGCCCGCCCGGAGAAGAAGGATGCGGAGCAATCCGGCTGCAAGGTATTGCTCCATGGACGGATAATGATTAATGGGTATCGCCGATCTAGACGGGGTTAGATCGCCGAAACAACAGCCCTTGGTCGGGTGAAACCCGAGTCATTCCGGTACGTAGAACCGGCTGTCGTGGGAAGTGGGGAGTCGAGACGTCGATAACATGTTACCGCAGATTAGTGTTAACCGACATTGAGTAACCGGCCCTTACTATAGCATGTCAACATTTTTAGGTTTTAGTTGCGATATTTTTTCGTTTACTCTTAAAACTGCTTTACTGTACATTCGTTCCGATCCTACTGATGATGACGCTAGGCCAACATAGTTGCCATATATTATTTTATATAAAAGTATTGCCGCTTTTCCAATGCACATTCAGCATTTTTGTGTCATAAATTTGGGGCCGGTTCTTCAATATCTGGTTATCACGACTTGCCGGTTAAACATAATTATTGACGTTTTCGACATCATGCTTATAACATGAGATCGATAAAGCAGTCGTTGTATTTAACCAGAGCTTCTACCTCCGATTTGTGCTAATCAGGCCTTGAACAACCGGTCCAATATATATAAACCTTCAATAGTGAAAATACTCGATAGTTTTTCAAAACTATCGATGGTGAAAAAAAAACCAAAACCATCGATAGTGCCATCGATAGTTCGGCACCACTGCTATTTGGAAAGAGTGTTATATATTGTTTTTAGCTAAGGGAAAGTATTTGTTTTGAAGCAGATTGTTGCTAATAATGAGGACATAATGTGGAGGCAAGCGAAGCAGTTATGTAATATTAAACAATTTATTGTAACGAAGCATCCTCAGGAACTGGGATATGTCAAACTATTTCCGATTTTACGTATTTCGCCGCCACATAACGAGGTTAACTGTTTTAATTTTTTCTGCTCATTGTTTAGATTCTTACAGGATTATATTTTTCAGATGAAACGTTATCGCAGGGAATATAAAGCAGCTGTGAATCTGCTTGCTCGTTCTTGCTCTATGTCGCCTTGCATTTTCCGACAATTACATTTTAGTAGTAAAGATTTTACTCCAAAAAAATCGGACCATAAGCAAGGCTCAGCTGGGAAAAACGGCAGACAAAATTCAAATCAAAATGACGAAAAAGGCAATGACAACGAGCAAAAAGTAAAATCGTTACTCACTAAGGCTTTGTTGTGGATGTTTACAGTTTATATGTTTGTCGTCTTTCTATCATTAATAACATCGCCAAGAGCAGAACGTCCTGAGGTAAAAATTCTAAAAATGCGAAAAATGCGCTCTATCGTTAACTTAATATAGGAAGTTCTAAGTCATTTGTGTTCGAAATTGAGCTTTGTACAAAGGTCGGTAGATTACATCTAAAAGCCTAATAGACTACAAAACGACTTTAATGTATTAGTTTCAGTATTTATCAAAACCAAGGATGTTAACGAAATTCCAAATTTAAGAACATTAAGGGCTGGTTTCCCCAACTCAACTTAATTAATTAAGCCAATTTTCATGACTTAGTCAGAATAAGATGTGTAAAACGTAGGCTAACTTATGACTTAAGTCCAAAAAGTGGCTAAGCTAAGTTAAGTTGAGTTGGAGAAACCAGCCCTAAGTTTTATAAAGTTTGATGTGTTCCGTTTGCGTATTTTTTGAAAGGATTTTGAGGTGCTCAAACGCGTAATTCGAATCAAAAAACTTTTACACACACTTGTAGACAACAGTTCACGCTGGTAATTATCTAGTTGGGCTTTCAACCCTTAAAATTTTTCGAAATTCTGGAAATGGGGTACAAATGGACGCGTCTGCAACCCAGTAATAAGAATCTGGGGTACTGTTTAGTACGAGGCCTAACTATTTCGAGGTATTGCGTCGAAAGGGGTGACGCGATCCAAAAAAATTTACACACTCTTATAGTCAAGGGTCTACACATTATTTTAACAAATACTTTTGTAATTTTTGATCACTAATTTATTTACAAATTGGGTTTCGAATATGCCCTGTTGTTGTAAAATTAGGAAATTAGCGTAGATTTATCACTCCTATTCTCCTTAAAGCAGCAACATCACCAATCTATTTTTATATTCCCCTTCACTTTACACTTTACTCGATTAGTTATAACTTTATTTATGACTTTAATATTAACCAATTAATCAA